CCCGAGGAGGCCCGTGGACGGCGCCTGGAGCCCAATCACAGGCCCAGGCGCAACTCCTTGAGAACCTGAAAGGCAAGAGAGGGACATGTGAGCAGGGAAGGAGCACCTCCTGTGCAGCTCAAAGCAAAATAAAATTCCATCCCGTCTCCAGACCTCGTGCGGTACCAGGCCAGCCTCACTCGGGAGGCCCGGCACCCGCCCGGCAAGTGGTCGGGAAGACGCCTGTGCATGGAACTCCAGGCCATGGGAGGCGGCATGGACTGGCCTGAGCAGAGGTCGGGAGGAGCAGGAACTGGGACGCACCGACTCGCGGGAAGGGACTGGGCCTCCATGAGGAGCGCTGACCACTCAGAACACGCAGGGCGTCCGAGAAACAACATGCTGCGTGCTGAGGGAAGGTCCCCAGGGCCTGAGGGAAGGTCCCCGGCGCCTGAGGGAAGGCTAACACGCCTTCCTTCGACTTATTGCCCTGAGCGGAGTCGGGGTGGCGGGCCTCGCGGCCTTGGGAAGCGAGTAACGGTGCAGCTGCATGGCCGAGGGGCCACTGAGGCGCAGCCGCTCGTCCTCCAGAGGCAGTGGGCCGAGTGCTCGTGCCTTGGAAAGGGACAGACTTGCCCCCGTTGGTTTGGCTCAGTGGATGGAGTGTCGGCCTGTGGACTAAAGGGTCCGGTCCCGGGTTCGATTCCAGTCAAGGGCACATGCCCAGGTTGCAGGCTTGATCCCCATAGGGGGTGGGCAGGAGGCAGCCAATCAACGATTCTCTGATCATTGATGTTTCTCTCTCCTCCCTTCCTCCCTGAAATCAATACAAATATATTTAAAAAGGGGGGGGGGCAGACTTGCTGGCGTATGTTCCCTTTACATGAGGCCTGGTCTTGCTTCCGTGTGAGGTTATACAAGTTCAACTAGACCCCATCGTTTAGAATGTGGAAGCAGCATTTCTGTTTGGGCTCACACTTAAGTAACGGAACGGCACCGTTATCTCACTTTCGATGTATTTCCCTGCAAATATAAACACGACGAGGCAAACGCGACGCCGGCAGGGGTTCCTGTCATGGACACGTCGGGGGCTGTCGGGTGGTTGACACACGCGCTGCAGAGGCCTCTGAGCAAGTCATGGTGCCGGCGTCCAGGCGACACTGTCCAGAGGCCGGAGCAGCGCCCCCCGCGCCCCCGCGCTCTCGGCACCTGCCCCCCACATCCTGCTGTTCCACTTGCGTCTCCAACCCCTTCCTCCTGCCCCTTTAACAGACACTGGGCAAGTCCAGCGGCCCCAGGGGTCCTGTGGGAATCACTAGCACAGACAGACAGGAGCTCCCGCTCCAGGTTTGCTCCTCACAGCGTGCGGCCCTATTGTCCCGCAGCCCCTACTGTCCCGCGGCCCCTACTGTCCCGCGGCCCCTACTGTCCCGCGGCCCCTACTGTCCCATGGCCCCTACTGTCCCGCAGGTTGAGGCGGAGGGGCTGAGCGGCCACACAGCAGCCTGTGGCCCAGCACCTGCCGCACAGGCTCTCTCCTGAGGAGACAGAAGCCCGGTGAACGGTGAGCTTGCGGGGTGCGACCTGGGCCAGGCGCCAGCACGGGTCGGTGCCTGCCTCTTGCTGATTAAACAGCACAAACCACACAAGGTAAGCGCCGGGCCGGCCAGCGTCCGTGCGGGACATTTCTGCACCTGGGTGCTGGCCGCTGCCAGGCCTCCTGACGCACAGCAAACATCAGTGCTCATTTCTGACCTAAGATCGCTCAGCAAACCGCACTCCCTTCCCACAGCCTTTACTCACGGCCTCGCGGCTGACGCGGACTGAGGAAGCCTGGCAAATTTTAAAGCCACCAGGGAAGTGGGCAGGGTTCACGGACGGTATCACCAAGGAGGACACAGTGACCCACCTCCTCCTGACCCCGAGGGAAGGCCCGAGGCCACGCTCCCCGCGCACAAGAGAAATGAGCCTGACCCTCGCCGCTCCCAGCTCTTCCCTGAGGCCGGCGGTGCCCGCAGATCCACCCTCCAGGGCTCACACTGACCTCGGACTGAATCACCTGCACTGCACGACAGCTCACAAAGGACGCTTCCTCCTCACCGGCCTGCCCACGGGCGTGTGTATTTGGGATGGTGGATTCCTTAC